ATGTCAGGAGAGCGAGGAGCTGGCTGGTCCCTGTGAGCCGTGGGGCCAGCAGGGGGGGAGGGGTCAGCTGATTATCCCCCTTCCATGGATAGGTTTGGGACCGTGGGTGTTGGCAGCTGCAGGGCTTCTCCCTCTCTGCCCTCAGGGTTTGAGGGTTTCATCATCCCCTGGGGGGAGCCTCTGCCCTGGAGAATGTGGAACAGGGAGGACAGAAGGGGCTGGATGAATAGCTGGGCTCTCAAAGGAGAATGCCCCAGGGAACCTCCTACCAGGCGCGTGAGATCTGTGAGGGTAAGTCTACACTTCAGCACTATTTTGAATTAACTTATTTCAAATTACTTAATTGAAATAAGCTAATTCGAAACAATGCATATAGACACACAAACTAATTCAAATTAGCGTTTTTATATTTCGACATAGCGAGTCCACACTGAGTGGACCCTGAATCGAAGGTATGGCTGGCCAGAACCAGTGCCAAAAGGGCATCAGGGTCAGACTTAGTGTCAGAGGGCTGTGCTTAAAGAGACCCGACCCCCCATCCCGGAAAGACAGTTCTCAGGTTTTTCTGCTTGCAGGTCTACCTCGTGGAGGGACACCAAAGCATTTATGTCTCGGAGTGCTCTGCTTGCCCTCACTCAGGACACCACGGCACTCTGCAACATGGAACCAGACCTGCCCCTGGGGACTGTGCTGCATCTCGTGGACACGTTGCCAGCAGCCTGGCTGCACTGTCTACAGGCTTCCATCTGGGAAGACCATTGAGGGGCTGTCAGGATCCAGGGGGCCCAGCGGGAGAGCTTCCACCCTGAGGAGCACTAAGAGTCTCCCCAGTCTGCCCCACTGGGGGCTTGTACCTCATTCCTCCCTCACGTCTTTCCACTGACCTTTCCCTAGCCCCCCCTTCCTGATGTCAAATAAAATACACAGATTTTCAAAAATACAAACTGTCTTTATTTAACACAACTGGGAGGGGGGAGGATGAACCTCTGGGGAGACTGGGGAAAGGAGGCGGCAGAGGGCAGGAGAGAGGGTTGGAGAGGGGAGGGGGAAAACTGGGATGAGGGAGCTGGAAGAGGGAAGCAAGGGGAAGAAGGGGGAGGAGAAACTCAGGGCTCAGGGTTGGGGGGGGTCTCGCTGGACCAACTTGACTTTCATGCAGATCTGCTCCTGGGTTCACCTGTGGCCTTTGGTGGCCAGGCTGGCAGCTATCCTGCCCTAGTCAGTCATGTTCCCTCTTCTAATGCGGAGATCATGGATGTTGGGGGCATTCCCCCAAACCTGAATAAGGTTCATGATCTCCGCCCTAGACCAGGAAGGCGCCCGCCTTCTCCGGGCCCTGGCAGGCTCCTTGGAGCTGGCAGGCTG